CGCCCTGCAGCCCCTTTTCACGGCACCGTCTCTCGACGTTTTCATTTTAATAGAAATCGATCTTAAGATGCGCGATAGTGATGGGAACCGATTCGTGGAAGAAAACCGCGCGGGTCCAAGCAGGGATAAGCGAGCGTGCAATTAGAAATCCACGGCGCGGCAATAAATCGAAAAAGCAACTAATGGCGCATGCGTATTGACGCATACGTCCGACTATCGTTCATCTTTCTCACGAGCCGCGTCCTCCGCCTCGAGCTATACTCGCGATCTTCTCGAGGCCCACACTCTTTTCCATCCCCTCGAAATTTACTGCGAATAATTATTTCAAACAATTCTTAAACCGAATTATCGAATAAGCGTTTTCGATCCATTTCGAAGTTTATTTCCAATAATAATTATTGAATACTTAAACGACGATATATTTTTCTTCTTTCGTCAAAGCAAATATCTGGGAAAGAAGAATCGATTATTCGAGGAAACGAGATTTATTTTTTTTTTTTTTAATCGTGAAATAATACATAGTTTCTCCATTAAAATAACAATAAATCTCCCTCTTCTTAAAACGAGCCAAGCAAGCCAGCTTTTTACACCTTTATCTCTCCTCTTTTTCTTCATCATTATTATCCTCCTCCTCGTCATCGCGATCCTCGTCTTTTTCTTCTTCGTTACTAGCCGCGTGGAAAGGATTCGCTGTTGGAGTGGACGCGCGTCTTAAGTACGCGCTTGATTTACGCTAAAAGCCGAGTATCCGTTCAATCTTTATCGAGGGGGTAATGCGATGATGATGGACGAGCGACGATTCGTAGAGGCGGAATGCGGTTATTATTGTAACTCGATCTTGGCGCGTAGAAAGCGGGGGAATTTCGTTGTTGGAGAATTGTTTTGGATTTTATCGCGTTTCGTGGGAATCGAAAGCGAACGATGAAGTCATTTCGAGGATACGTTCAAGTTGAGAGGCATAGTTGGAAAATCTGTGGCTCACCAGTGAAAGTGACTTTTTCTTTTTTTTTTTTTTCGAGATTGTCATACGTTCCTATTTGCATTTTGTCGTTTAATTGTATCGATAAATTTTATAGATATAAAATTTATTTGATTGTGCAACGATAAATGAAAGTTTAATTCGGGAATTAAATTTAGTAGAGAGTAAATATAAGTGCCAGCAATAATTTGTATATTAATTTATATTATAAATAGATTTAATTAAAAAATAATTAAATTTCGAATTAATAATTATAAATTAAATTAATTAGTTGGGATTATAAGGTTTAAAAAAAAAGTAGGATTGGATATCCTGTAAATAATATACTTGTAAGAAATACTTGAACTAATGAATTTGTGTATTGTTAAATAGTTCAAACATATTTACGATTAATAATATTTTGTATAAATTCGAACGAGTTTCAATAAATTTTTGAATATTTTTCGGTTGACAACGAACCGTATAACGGTCTTCGAATACAATAAATGCATATCAATAATCGACATATGTATGTGTATATTAAATTTTTAAGTTACTTCTAGAATTTCTTCGTATTATGTCGACAATTATTACTTTTACCAAATATTTTCTCTATGAAATTAGATTGGACACGTTAAATTATACAAATTGATTTCATTTCAAACAATTATCCATATTATCCTTCCTTCCTATCCTTCCATCACAGGTGAAATAGACCTTTCAAAATCCAATCTCTTGAAGGATTTTGTATCTTTGTACCTCCTCGATATATCTTCCGCAAACTGCGCACACGTTTTCGCGGAAACACGTGAACGGTTAGTGCCGAAGGCTGGATAGAAAATCGGGAAGCGGGCAGAGAGAACTGGCACAGCTAATCGTGCGGTAAACATCGGGAATTCGCGTGATCTCTCGAAGCGAGGAAATGCAAGGCTGCTGCCCGCCACGATCTTTTTTAACGATCGACCGGTCGCTCGAATTACCATAACCGATCGATTACCGACTCCTCGACGAGAGGAGAGTTTCACCGAACAAGACGAAGATGTGTGAAGATTGGCCAGGACAGGCTTCGTCTTCCAACATTTTTCTCTCGCGGAAATCGAAGATTAAAGGCGATCTCTGTCATTTCCGGGAAAATAGGCGGAAGAAGCAAGTAGCTCGTGCAAGAAGTGAGAGAATATGGGTTGGTGTGTGATGGGTTTCGTGATTTTGTTGAGCGATGAAGAAGCAAGTTTTAGCTTATTTTTTTTTTCTTTTTTAAGAGATAGGAAAGATTAAACGTTTTCAACTTTATTCGTGTAATTCTTTCGTGAGAATCGTTTGAAATGTTTCTAAATTTCCGCTTAAATTTTCATTTTATCGATCGAGGGCTATTCTCTTTCTTCGATTTTGTATTCGTTCAATTTGAAAAGAAGAGTGCAGCTTCGATTTCAATATTTATAACTTTTTTGGATGTTTGCAAAATATTTTAATACAACATTTTTAGATTATTTCTAGATCTATGCAAAGTTCGTAAAAATGTATGATAGAACAAATAAATAAATCTATTTCACTACTCGCATCACGATGCAAATCTCCTGATACTTTCAATTATTCATCATAGCGGAGGAAAGTTGGAAACACAGATATCTTCGAATCGACAAGTTTTAATTCTCCTCCATCTAAACTCTGCATTAAACACGAAGGGGATAAAATTGCGTTGTTATTGCCTGTATTACGGGGAATTCACAAGCGTGCACGAATTTGGCCGCAGGCATCGGGGGGCATTATCATCGCTTTGCCGTGTAATCGCCCGTGTAACTTACGCCACTATGAATTATCATTAACGCCCCGAGCGATCACCCTCGGGCGGATTCGCCGTGCTGTTGGTCCCGTCGCAACGGCACGCGTCAGGAACACGTGGTCGCGCATGTCACTCAGTCGAAAGCCAGCTCTCGAAAAGATAAGATCCCCGTACACACAAATCGTCCGGTCGGAAATTTATTAATTCGGCCTGGCCAATCTCGAATTGTGCCTCTTAAAAAAATTCTCATCATTTTTTTAACTTGTATATATGAGTTATAAATTATTTATAAATAGAAACTTAATGTTAGAAAAAATATTTAATATTATTAGAATAAGATATTTTCGATATTGAATTTTCACAAATTACATTGCAGTATATATATATCATAGTAGAGTTATAAATTAAATATAGAAACTTGGTTATGATATATATTGCAGTATATGTATCGTAGTAGAGTTACAAATTAAATATATAGAAACTTGAAAAATTACATATTAATAGAATTATATTTTAATTGGCATTAATAAGACATTGAATTTTCACAAATTATATTGCAGTATACATATCATAGTAAAGTTACAAATTAAACATATAGAAACTTGGTTAGAAAAATTACATATTAATAGAATTATATTTTAATTGGCATTAATAAGATATTGAATTTTCACAAATTATATTGCAGTATACATATGATAGTAGAATTACAAATTAAATATATAGAAATTTGAAAAATTACATATTAATAGAATTATATTTTAATTGGCATTAATAGGATATTGAATTTTCATTTTCAAATTATATTGCAGTATACATATGATAGTAGAATTACAAATTAAATATATAGAAACTTGAAAAATTACATATTAATAGAATTATATTTTAATTGGCATTAATAAGATATTGAATTTTCACAAATTATATTGCAGTACACATATGATAGTAGAATTACAAATTAAATATATAGAAACTTGAAAAATTACATATTAATAGAATTATATTTTAATTGGCATTAATAAGATATTGAATTTTCACAAATTATATTGCAGTACACATATCATAGTAGAGTTACAAATCAAACATATAGAAATTTGGTTAGAAACTTGGTTAGAGAATTGTATTTTAATCAATAAGATAATTTCGATATTGAATTTTCACAAATTGTATTGGAGTATATATAATAGAATAAAAAATACATTTCTCTCGTGCAAGAATAAACTCTTCCAATTATCCACATTGAATCGCAATCACCGTCAGCTGGAAGAAAACTCGACTTCCATATACCGTGGCCACGAAACAGAGATCGTATCGCTCGTATATCGGGTCTAATCGATGAACAACGACAAGATCGCGAGGTAACATCGGTCGTGCGTCAATCGAACGATCCGATCCGCGGCGATAGCGCGCTCGCCATTGACATCCGATTCCGCATCCCGGTCACGATTAAGACAATAAGATTTTACGATGTCTCCTATTTCAACCGTGCGCGATCCTTGCTCCCCTCCTTTTTACGTTATTACGTTTTCATCGTTGTATGGGGGGGGGAGGGGGGAGGAGGAGAGGAGAGGGGATAGGTAGTCGAAGATTTAACCGGAAGATGACCTACTCCGGGTGGCGAGATAGGCACGGCTAAAAGCCGATCATTTAATAAGTTATACGCCAGCTAAAGATTACGATCGATCGTTGGTATCAACCCGAATCTGATCACGGCCTGTAATCAAATGCTGTTACCGACTTTTATTACGCCGTTAATGCGGCATGCGATCGTTCCGTGAGCTGGCTCGCGACTCTGTTTCCCTTCTCTTACTTTTTTTCACCGGCTGGCGGTATTATTATTTAACTTGGAGGAAGGAAACGAAGGGAGTGAAATTTTGTCGGAACGACGCTTTTACATAGAAACGTGTTCGAGAGTACGAGTCGTGTGAACGAAATCGTAATATAATATCTTTGTTGTGACAATTTAAAAAAATTATTAATCGACTTATTCGAGTGGAAAAATCAATTTTTCTTAATGTTCAGGTATACATCAATAAATGTGTCTCGACTCTTTTTTGTGTTAAAAATTGTACGATTTAAAAAATGATTTACTCACAATCTCTTTGACGCAATCCCTTTTTGCGTGCAAGAGCGCAGTAAAATGGAGTCTTGTGTTATTTAATCGATAAAATAAATTCGTAAAGTTTCTACTTGTTTATTCTACCTGAGTTGGGTAACAATTTCAGGATTAGCAATTAATTTTTTCACCAAATTTCTGCATCGTAGGCTGCACGGACATCCATGGCAGACCCGTTCTCGAATTCGAGGACGAGCCGTCCAGAAGGGAGGCCGCCCTCTCTGTCAAGGAAGTGTCATCGTTTCTGCTCTACCTCGCCCGTTTACCCAGGTAATTATTTTATTTATCATTATTTGTATATAATGGAAAAAGGACGTATATCTTTGTGGACAGGAATATATAGGATATCAGAATGGTTTATAAATAATGCAAATTTTTTCTAAACTATACGAATAACGTTTGTTATAACGATAATTAATGAAGTTGAATTGAAGAAGCAATTGGATAAGAATATTTTTATTTCTACACTCGCCATTGCACGTATAAGCTACTTTCTATAATTAATTAATTCCATTATTTTCTATTATTTAACGTGTGAAATTAATCGCTACAGTTTTTATAGAAACGTTAATAACAATTAATCAATTACAATGTTCAACTGGATGGATTGTAAATAAAAATTATTAAACGATCGATTACAAAATATTACAACTTGTTAAATCAAATTCGAAGATCGAATTGTCTCACTGTTAAGTAAAATTTAACATCTTAAATAAAAAATCAGATATGCATCAAAAATAATTCGATTCTCCTCGAACAAAAAAAAAAGAAAAATCACGTTTCGCACGTCGCGCGGAATATTAATGATTTATTATCGCGGTGACCGTGTCTCCCCCGATTCATTAATCCGGTTGCCCAAGTACACGAGCTTTCCAACACGTGATCGACGACGGTTTCCGTAATAATTATAATTTTCCACGGCCGTGACATCGGCGACACGCCCACCGCAATCACGGTACGAGGTGCAAAATCAAGGCGCGTGAGTATCGTTCCAAGATTTTCCCCCTAGATCCCCCCTCCTCCCCCCTGGTTATTAATTATCGCGCGATATTTTTTTTCTAATTAGCCCGCTCGGCCGGGACTAATCGAAATGAAAGTTGAAAAATTACCATCGTCGATAATTACCCCGCCTTGTTGCCCGATAATTCGATTAGATGGACGGCCGATCTTATCGGCCCCATCGCCGATTTTACGTGATAAAATCGAACGATGAAAAAAATCATTGCCTCTATCGTGTAATATTACGTTAATTATCGGTTAATTAATCCCTTATATCCGTTATTATCACGAGTGAATAGCACGAGCGGATTTATAATCCACGTTGCAAAGTGGCCTACCGGATTTCGTCGAGTTAAATATAATAATGGTACAAGTGTATTGTATTTCATAAATGTAGGATATGATAATATGTAGATTCGTGATAATAAAAGAAAGAAAGATTTTTGTAATTTATAGAAAGGCTTAAAAGTAACATCGGTATGACGATTTTATCATTTTTGCAGTGGTAAGTAAAATGTAAGAAATTTATTCGATATTAATATTCCATTCGAAGAATTCGAGAAAACATTGCCAATTAAAATGATTATCGTTCGACTTAGAAAGCCTCGCTCGCACTGTCATCAATATTTCCACCTCCACAATGACCAATACGCACGGCGTTGTTTGCATAAATTCTGAAAGGTGAAACTGGATGTTCTCCATTCAATGAAATTAATTTCTACGCGGCGGCGTTCTATTCTTCCCCTTTGAAACCCGCCGAGTTTACTATCTCGCGATTTCACAGTGTGCACACATCGGTGTCCGCTAATCGCCGGTAATTAAGTTGACGAACGACGGCCGAGGTTGTCTCTCCCGTGGTGGTATAAATAAACCGTGTAAGGCCGTAAATAATAGAAATGGAAAACAGGTGTCGCCCTTTCTCCCCGGGCGAAATTCTTTCGAAATATTTTCGATCGTATCGTAAGTAAGTAAGCGTTAAAACGGTGTTCACGGCGGTGTTTGTTACCCACGCGGGGCGGATAAAAGGTGGAAAGGCGGTAAATCATTCGCCACTTAACGCGTCGGGGGAATAGAATTTTGAATAACGATCGTCCATTATCGGCTGTGTATCGAGGAAAGCGTGCAACACGAGGAAACTGAATATATTTCACATTACGTAATATGTCTATTGTTCGGAGAAAGTGCATATTTCATTGATAAGAATCGGGCATAAAGCCAATTTATTTTATTGCTATCCTTGCCGCGCCGCCGATCTTTGCCCGCCGATCGATCGCCGGGATCTTTGCCAATTCTAACCGATATTGGAGCGCCTCCGATTTCCTGATCGAGTATTCCGTGATCATCCTCCATGACTTTTTTTTCAAATCTCAAATTCTACGAGTGGAATTCTTTGGTTGAACTTGATATCGTTCAATCGCTTATTTCTATCTAACTCGCACGAATATTCTTGCATGTCATCGAATCACCTTAGGTGCAAAAGTAACATCGCTTGAAGAAATACTTTTGTTTTTCTGATATAAAAATCACGTGTGAAATTAATTCGATTGAATTCTATTCTTTCTCTAAAAAATTGATAATTGCACTTGTGTCTATACGAGCCAATCAAACTCGATAAATGGTGTGCAAGTACATTGCGCGTACAAAATTGCCACGAAAAAATCTCTAGCATTCTTCTATTTAATATTCCATACGATCGTCCATCGAACCGCGGGCGGTAAAATTCCAGAAACACGACTCGATCCATCCGCTCGAAGGACGCAACGAGTTTGAACGAGCAACAAACCGACCCCACCCCGACACACGCATACACAGGCTCCGTTCCAAAAGCAGCGGCGGCCCGATGAATTATTTAGTACCAGGCCGGCAAACGAGAGAGCAGCTCCTCCGGCGGAGCCATGCCATGCAGACGCCGTAAACGCCCGTAACGCTTATTTTTCTTCTTTCTCCCCTCCTTCTCCTCCTCGATCGCGATTAAGAACCGTCCTCTCGATCTCTCTAGAGGAGGGGCGCCTCTTCTTCTCTAGCTTCTCTCCTCCCGCTTCTTTTCGATTGTCAGCGAGGAGTCGAAAGGCGATCGTAAAGGATGCCTTCTCTTCTCGATTCGCCCGCTTGTTTGGCCGCCTCGTAAAACATATCACGTACGATAGCCACGGCAGCCTATTGCGGTATCGTCGATCGTTGCGATGCGCCTTTATGCTGCTGCTGCTCCTCTTGCAGGAGGGAAGACGAGCAGATGGTATTCCCCTCGAGGAAACCTCTCCTCGAGAAACGTCCATCTTTTCTCATCTATTTTCCATTGGTATACGCGGGGAAATTTCGTGAAGCGTTTTGAGATACGAATTGAATTTTTCGGTATATCGAGTTTTAATTCTTTCGATTTTTTTTTTTTTGTTATTAGATACTTTGCATAAAATTTTGTGTTCTAGTAGATTTGAACTGGTTTTATTCGATGTGGGATTTAATTAAGATTATTTGCATTGTGGTATATTGTGGTGTAATAATTTTTCTCTTCTCGCGAAATTATAACGATGGAATTCTTCCATTGACAGATCTTATTTGTTCGGGATCCATCTAAAATCAAGAGTTGTGATATGATTCGATATCGGGTCTGTAAAATTAAAGGGAAAGATGGTGAAAGTAATTATCGATGAACATTCAAGGCTATATGTAAGAAATTAAATTAATTAATTGTGAATGAATAAAAGTAAACTGGATACTACGAATAATTTAAAACAAATAATTAGTATTATTACTAATTTCGAGACGAAAGATGAAAAATTAATTTTGCATGGAGAAAATTTCTGAAAAATACTTATTTCGTCCGTAAATAGAATTACGCGGAAAACTTGGAGTCTTCTGAACCATGAGACAATCATCGCAACGGAATTCCGTGGTTGAACGTGGCTAAACGTTTAATACATGCGTCATGAATATATTGAAAGTATATGCAATTAAAGTCTTGCAACAACGGCTTCTCATGACTTCTTTGCAAAATTTCAAATATCGGATATTCTACACGTCGTCACGTGTACATGTGTTTTGTAAATGTACATAAATAACATTCGAAACGAAAGATTTCTCGTGAGAAGTTTCTTTAAGAGAGGGCAGTATTCCATTAAGATATTGGTATTTATGTAGTATCTCGTGAAAATAAACAAATACATATATACAAGTACAAAAATATATTATTAATGCAAAAGTATTTATATTTTAACATGAAAGTATTTCTTACCAGAAAAGAAATTATGTAGGTTTTATAAATAATTTACTTATTAATCTACAGACAATTTCATTCTTGAAAGCAATTCTTGAAATTTAATATCAAATTCGCTTCGATGTGATATTCTTTCTCGTTGAAAAAATTTCACCTGATTTCAAATTTATGCGAAAATAAGTAAAAGAACTACTGCTAATAACAGATACAGAGTTAATTATGGAACATGTTTGAATCAAATCAATTGCACAAAAATGTCGATTAATTTGTTAAGTGACAAACAATTCTCCATCCCCAAAATTCATATTTTTCCATTTCATCCAACAATTCATTAACTTCCAATAAGAATATTTGCACACAAACATTATAAATACATTTCGCCCTCAAATTTCAAATATTACGCGCATTCGAAATAAGTATCATTCACTTTCACATACTTGTTCACACGAGACAATCCAGAATGCAAATTAATAGCCCTCGATCCAACGTTTCCCACGATTATCCGAGACAATGGAACGCGCGTTTTCACCTGAGAGCGCATCCCCCAATCGGGCACGCGGAAGGTCGCCAGGGTTGCGAAAGTTTCTGGTCGTTGCGCGTGCGTGTCCATTATCGTCGATATCTTTCAGTAGCGAGGAGGAAAGCGGCGAGTGTGCGCTATCGTGCCATTGGAATCCGCCGACGAAAGCTAACCAGTGTCATAATGACCCCATGAGCGGAACACGATCACCATAAATCACCGATCACCGGTTACGCGGGATTCATTAGCGTTTTTCCTCGTTTGTCACTTTTTTTTCCTTTTTTTTTTTTTTTTTTTATTTTCCGGCGGCGGCACTCACAGTGGGAAAGCGCAAAACCGACGTTGATGTAGCGGCAATGGCGGATTATTTATCGATCGAGGCGAAATAATAATTATCTGTGAATTTTCGTTTCCACGTTATTTTTTTTTTTTCTTCTTTTTATGGAATTATATTTTTTTATATTTGTATAGAAATGATTACTCGAATGCCTCGAATAAAATTGTACGGTATTTAAATTATAATAAGTCAGCTTAGAG